AATTCATTATGTAGTCTACCAGTATATGATGAGTGCTGAGAAAGGGGCGGCATGGCCTGAGGTCTAGGGCGGCCAAGACTGTAAATCCGCCACTGGATGGATGGCCCTTATTTCGTCTCTATTTCTGGTTATATACTCGATGACTAGCACAGATACCCAATCCCATACAAAAGAATGTCGTACTCATAACCCCGTTTATTCAGACGCTTATTTTGATTCTTGACGCTGATCAATAGATAAGGCCAGGATAATATTCGAAAAGGCCAACAGATTTTTGTCTAGGTTTGCTCTTGTGAGGTGTTGATTGTATTTTTGGGATCTCCTGTAAAATTTTGTCTAAAGAACTTACTAAATTTGGCGACTTGGAACACCCTATTCCGACCATTCATTATATTACAATAACGTAATAATTATAGCAATTTAATATTTTAAAGTAAAAGTCAGTAGTTAAATGTTACACGAGTGTGTGGATTGAGTGATTACCCTCTGTAAAATGTTTAAAATGTGTTGTGTGTGCGGCAGATATTTAGTAGTAAATTAATACTAAAACTGCCAATTATAATCTCTGTAATACTTACAAATCCAAACATATTGACGTTTGTTACTTTCCAGAAATTGGAGGATTGAGTGAGCACTTAAAAATAATTATTATTCAAAAACGTTTCACATTAGTGGCTTGTTTTATATTTTACAAATTCATATGTAACTTTTACTAAATCTAGATATAAACGAAATTTAATTCACTTACTTGGTTCTTAAGAAATCGTTCCTTTTAAAAACGCGGATTGAGTGAGCTTAAGAAAGTATTTGTAAAAAATTGAAAAAGGCACTAATCGATCTGTAATTTAAAACGATAGTTTAACTAAACTTTTACTAAAAACTAGTACAATAATATTATATGTAACCTTAATACTTTTGTAGATCTGACTGGCCCTCTGTGAGAACTGAGTACGCACACATTATGTTATTATTTTGTTTTATCTTTTTACAAGTAGAAAGATTGGTTTCTACAATTGTTTTAGAACTTTTACTAAATGACTAACACACAGAGGATTTTACAGAGGGTAATCACTGAATCCACTCACACGTAAATGTTACTAGTTTGGAGAATATATTCAAAGAAATTTATTAACAAACAGTTTATTTTTAACAAAATCTTTTCATTTTTGGTAAATGTATATTGTCTTGTAAAAAGTCATGGAAGAAAACAATATCTCCGATGAACACTATGCCAACAATTTTTTTTGTAATTTTCTGTTTTTAATAAACATCCGTATTTTTTTACTAATAATAATAACGCACACACTCAACATAGCCCCGCACTAGGGAAAACCCTGTGTCGCGGGTAAATAATATTATGCTCCCAGAATTTTGTGAAAAAAAACTATATAGAAACAAAATAATATCAAAAATTAAGTAGGCGTAACGAGGTTGTAAGAATTTTACAAATAACGCTGTTTAAACTAAGTTTGCAAGTGAGAGGGCCCTCGCTACACTATTAGGCTTGAAGTTTTTTTTTATGTCACCCTGAGACAAGTTGACGAGTCCCATGTGCCCTAATTTCACCAGCACGTAATTTCACCCTTCAAACCGGAACACAGTAATACTGACATTACTGCTTGGCGGCAGAAATAGGCAAGGTGGCAGTACTAGTCTGGATGAACTCTTTCACAAGGAGCTCTATTGCTACTTAATACCTATTATTTAGTATAATCAAAATTTGTTTTTAATAATAATAATAATTTTATTCTCAGACAACGTGATCCATAATATTTGTTAATAAAAAGTACTTAAGCTAGTGTTAGTTTAAAAATAAAAATTTTTAGTTTTGTTTTGACCTAATTTTTTAACTTTTCTTGTAAGTATTGTGTAGCAAATAAATAATTTTCCTTGGTCGCTTTCTACTAACTCTAGGGGGTTAATAAATAAGTTTGTAGACAATGGAAATATTTATTTATTAACTAGTATGAGAAACAAACATAACATAATTAGAATAATATTCCTAAAAAGCACCAATGAGTACTAAAAAAATTCTATCTTAACAATACAAATCGATTTCTTAGATTTCGCGATTGTTACACATGGTAGATATGAGCGCCGCCGCCGACAAATGCAATCGGCGCGCCGTTCAGTTGCCAGATGCCAGAAATTGACAAATTAATGTTGTAAACAAGACATCTTCACTAAGTTTTATTTTCGGACTGTCAATTTCACTACGCACACACAATACGGCGCACTAAGCGTGCGCGTGCGTACGATCGGAGCGCCTGATCGAACTTGTAAAACATTGAATATAGAAAATACGTTATTTTATTTTTTCTTTTGACAGTATTTGTATAACGGTTTCATTCCCAATGGATAACAATTGAAATGAAAAAAAGTAAAAAGCCTCAGTTGGTGGATAATTTTCAGATTAGTTTGTATCTAGTTTTTTTTAAATTCTAGAATATTATTATTTAGTATCTTTTAATATTCGAGTGTAGTAAATATGAAAAATGATTTAATATTAGACAATAATACCGTCGGTTCAGGGGAACAGATTTTACGTTTTAAATGCTGTTTTAAAATATTAATATGATCTATTTTAAACTTAAATTTTGGTGAATTTAAAATAGGACGTAAATATTTCAAAACAGTCATGAAAAAATAAAAAAAATTTTTTTCAAAATGGTGCTTTCTCTTTTTGTACAAAACGTCAACGGTTATATAAATAATAAAAATTGTCGAATTTGATGAAATTGGTGAATTAGTGAAAACTAACATGAAAATTTCCCTCCAGTTTTTTTTCCGTATTTGGTCCTTCCCATTTTTTATTCTTAGCTATAATTGACTTAATTCCATTTCCATTTTGCTATCATCAGTAACGTTTCCCTGTATATATAAATAGAATCTCTCAAACACACTGTAACACATATCTACTTAATTATATAATGTAAAAGAGTATTGTAAAAAATTGTAAACAATTGGTTTTAATAAAATCTTATAATCTATTATTATGAGTACTATGAACCAATAACTCTAGAGGACTGGTAATCTTCATACTACAGATTTTAGCTCTGAAAAAGATCAAAATTTCGTCTTAAATCTAGATGGCGCTGATCTATTATCTGGTAAAGTAGTTGATATTATGCAAACGGCCGTGGATATCAATTAATTCATCTTTAATTTGTTATACAAGTTACTCAGTTTCTTTCCTTGTAATATTATTAAACATTGACCATGAGCTAAAATTATTTTCTGAACTTTGACAAATGTCAATAGATGGCATTGTGTATTACAAACTAATTTACAAATTAACGCTTCCTAATAGATGGCGCTAATCCTAAACAAAACAAAAGAATATTATCAATAAAAATCTGCAATAAGCGCCATCTATTTGATTTGTTTGTTATCCCGTTATCACTAGAAATCAAAGTAGCTTCGATAAATTGCAGTTCGTCAATGTAAACAAATTATAGTCCATTTGTTTACACACATCACACATCTTTTTATTGAAACAAATCAATAGGTATAAAAATACGCATGCAATTTCATATGAAGCAAGTATTTGCGTTTTGTATTTGTAGGTAAGTAAAAATCATTTTATAAATGTATATTTCATTAAATAGACATCTCAAGATTGTTTACATTTAGTTAAGTACCTAAACAAATGGACTATAGTTACAAAAATAACTATTTGGTACTCGTCGCGATATCTTGTGTACAACATAGGTACTAAATATCGCGATTAGCGTAGTTAGAATCGTCTCGAGTTTATTGATCCATGTTATACTTTATTTACCGTATTTTGTTCTATAAATTTATTGTAATAGATTCATTATACGCACCCCTGTTTAATAAGGCCACGTCTGTAAAATGACAACTTTAAAAGGAGTTTCAAAATTGTACGAACGAAATTAGTCGATAGATATTTCATGTTTAAATGGAGAATTATAAAATTTCACATATAGATGGTTATTTGTAATGTATACTAACACCCTCTCAGGACTATATTACTAACATCACAAACAACAACTTTTGTTCCATGACTCCCATCAGATTTTACTTTCGCACACAAATAATAATATTTAAATAGATCGCTTTAAACGGTGGTAACTCTGTGCGGTAACAAAGGAAGCGCTAGCATAAATACCAGTCCGATGCAAAACGCAGGAGCGGAGATGGGGATCGTCGGGGAGGACGCCTACAAGTTTGAACTTACTAGCAAATACAGATATAAAAAGTATAAAGTAATAACAGTTTATTTTTAGTAAATTTACTATTATTATATATTTTTTTAAAAGCCTGTACTGTCCAACTACTGGGCAAAGGCCTCTCTCCCCTCTCTCCACAGCTCTCTGTTTTGCGCCACTGAAGTCCAGTATTTTAGGTGCGCATCTAGTTCGTCTCTCCATTGACGCTTTCGCGTGCCGCATGGCCGTTTTCTATCTTTGGGCATCCATTCTGCAGACGTGACCAAGTGGTACTCCCTGCTATCCAACAGACAAGGCTCTGGTACCCACCCACCAACCCGCACTAGACCAGCATGCTGGGTCATGGCTCAAACCCTTTCCTTCAAATTTATTATATTTTATAAAATGTCATGGAAGAAAAGTTGTTGTTATGATCATAGGTGGGAAAAAGGTGTTCCACATATATAGATACATGTATATACATATCTACAAGGAGTTGTTAAAACCACCAAATATTATTTGATTATTTTTTCGAATTCCTGATTTCCGGGAATGGTTTTATTGCATCGTAGGACATCCGATTCACACGACGACGCAAAATGAGTTATCTGCCGACTCACGGGCATAATGACGGCTGACTTTCGGTCGCATCGTGTGACGGGCTGGCGCGGGTGTACGTAGGGGTGAGGGAAGGGGTCACTTTGGTATAAACGCTTAAAAAGCAACTGAATAAAATACGTTCGTCTGGCGCTCTAACCGAATTTCGGTCGAGCGCAAACTGCGCAACTCAAAAACCGCAAGTCAACTCACAAAATTACGCTCGTCTGGCCTCACCCTATTGAGGTCGTTTTTTTTAATAAGTAATAATTCAACACGAGCGACTGCATCGATGCAGCTGGCTATAAAACGCAGTGTAACCGCTAATTGTGTTTGTAGTTAGCATTTTAATTTAATTCAATTATAGTGCTTTCTGATGCTATACTAATTTAATAAATATATTCAAGCAAGTGGTTTATAAGTTTTCACTGTAAGGCGACGGATTAAGTGCTTACACGAACAGCATCGCAACTGCAAAATAACAATTGCAATGCTGTTTGGTGCAATTGCATAGTGACTAGATCATAATTGCCGATTGCTATGCAAACGACGTTAAGGCGTACGAAAGTTCATGCAATGTCGTTTAAACAATGAATTTGTCCTGCCTCCGACTGCAGTCGAAATGCAGCTCGTGCCACAACGGTAATGCACTATAGCGTAACTACATAAATTGGGACGGTAAACGAAAGTACTACTACAACGGCACCATTATTGCAAGTAAATTTGGCAATACTTTTCGTCCCGTGCTGTTCCCCCCAGTGTAGTCCCGCTTGAACAATATTTTGGTAACTTTATAATTGACTCAAATTAATTAATAACTACTGGTGTAGATTCTGTCGCCACTGTCTACCTATCTCTTACTAATGCAGGTCTAAACTAATCTACCTAAGGTCCTAGATTCGTCTTCAGCAATATAGGGGACCTCAAAAAAAAAGTTATTATAAATTGCATTAATTGTAAAAATGTGTGGTGATAATAAATTGATTATTATTGTCTACCATTGCATTTGAATGCGTGAATTTAATAAGATAAACTAATAATTTTTATAATAAAATGTATAGTATTATATAGTTTGATTCGAAAAGCGTTTAAATCTACTTAAATATAAACAATCCCTGTGACGACCTTATTGCTGTGCAGTAAAGCTTACTTCCAGATATTTATTTTAAATAGTCTAAATTCGAATGTGAAGACTTCCATTGTGATGTAACTTGAAATGATGTTCCTGAAATAAAAACAATATTTCAATGATTCGATATGGTAGCCTAATGGTTTGACTAACCGTCCCTCAAGCAGAGGCCGTGCGGACGTAAGAGGTGCGGACGTAAGAGGTGCGGACGTAAGAGGTGCGGACGTAAGAGGTGCGAACCTCTTAAGCTTTTTGGAATTTATATCCGAAATTTAATTTTCAAATCATGAGCTTTTCGTTGAGGCACAACATCGTATGAAACCTGCACATCGAAGAAGGTTCACAGCCCTCGGAAAACGTGTGAAGATGCCCTAAAACCTCACCTGAGAGGAGACCCATGCCCGGCATTGGTACGTATACATAACCATAAAACAAAATTCGGAAAAAAAACAAAAAATGAATTTTGTACAAAACAATAAAGAAAATAGAACAGGTAAAAAAATTCAGTTATTATTATTATTAGGGTGGCTTCATTCTGGGTCTATGCATCCCCTAATCACTGCGACCATTGACTGATCTATTGTGATCACCACTAATTACAGTGCAGAGCCAAGGCCGACATTCTTATGCCATTTCTGTCCAATGACAGAGTTTCTCTACAGTGTTAGCACTGTAGGCAGATATCAGAACTTTTGTATGCTCAAGACCTAAGAAAAATTAAGTTAGTGTTGTGTTCATTGTAGGTATCGATGTCTTAGATATCATCTCCAAGATGCTGCCCCACTCTTTCTATAAGCGAGTTTGAAACACGGTATGGGTAGGCGTTTCGTATACCACAAGCGCACAACTTGTTCATGCTCATGTTTCGAGTTCTAAGGTTTTCGCGATTGTTACACATAGGAAATAAGACTATTTTCCGGATTTAAATCGCATATATCTGTTTGAAAAAACAAATATACGCGATTTAAACCCGAAAAATAGTTTTATTTCTTACATGCTCATGTTGTCACTTGATATCATTGAAAAAAGCAGAAATATGCATTTGACTATAATGTAAAATTTTAAATACTCTACCTCTGAATGAGGATCAGTTCCGTCGTGGCTTTTGTCCGTGTGTGCTGTATGGTTGTGGCACATTCCTGTAGTTCAACCACTCCACGGCCACAAGCACTGCTGCTGCCACAGCCGCTACACCAAGAGCTATACCTTTTACTAGAGCTTCCATTACTGCAGATCTAGGGAAAAATCAGTTAAAATCCAGTGATAGTTAAAAGGTTTCAAAAGATAACAATGAAGAGTTTCAACACTAAGTACTTTCAGAGAGAGTTCAGAGTGATAAGGTAAGTAATTGCTCTAAAAGTATCTCGACACTTCTTGTGTAAAACATTGCTTGTTGAAATTGCCAAGTTTACAGGGGAGTATTTTAAAGTTTTGAATTCACTGAAATGAGCATAACTCGTGACTTTAGCATTTCTCAGTTTTATTCGGCAAAGCTTGTTACTCACACAGAGCATTATAAAATCCTAGATGTTGGTTAGATGAACAACCACAATTTATTTTATAATTTTATACTGTCACCCGACCCACCCAGTCTCACTTTAGTTTACCCGCTTGTTGATCCACATCTGCGCTAGTATAAAAAGGTTTATTCAAAACTTTAAAACACAGGGAGTGTAAACTTGGCAATTTCGACAAACTATACTTTACGTCTATACCTAATTAGTTTGCACCCTGTATATTATAAAACCATTAATAGGATATAAATGATTGTTACAGCTTTATAATGTGAATGATATTTAATTTGTTTTTAATTGTGGTTTTTGTTCAGGTGTTCATTGTTATGTATTTTTAATTACACACACTGGCACACATGTGAAATCCCCAAATGATGCAACAGCGTTTTTTCAAAGTTTCCATGGTTATTTTACTTTCAAGGTCTAATTTGCAAATAAATATTAGTCAACTGTTTTTTTCTTCATTTGTTTTCTACTTGAGGTTGATTTTGCATTGTAGGAAATTTCATAAAGTTTAATTAAAATCTTTTTTAGATAAGCAAACTTTCATTTAATCAATGTGAAAACGTTACTAAATTTTCAACTGTTTCTGCTCATTTGGAAAATTACTTAAGATATTTTAAAAGAAGTTCATTAAAATTGCTACTTTAAGTCTAATACTTCTATTCGTCCAAAATTTTCACTTTTTTTGTTTTGCTACATGTGTGTACTACAGGTAACGGCAGCAACAGCATGCTCCATAGTCCTTCTAGCTAAGTCATAGGCCTGTTTAACATGTTATTTACAAATAAATTTTATATGTATAAAAAAATGTTTACTTAGTTGAACAAGAAATCTACAGATTTTTATAAAAATAAGTTGAAAATTCTAGAACCATGAATGGGATAAATACATTAAAAATTATATGTGGCAACATTACATGCTAAACTCCGCTCATTTCTTTCATAATTTAAACTTATATACCGGTAATAAATAATACTGTCATGTTAACAATAAAATTGGGCATCTTCCTACTCTAAAACAATCTGCAAAATTAATAGAGAATGTCAAAATGGCCACCATAAAGATATCACGATTTCCAGTGTAATATGTCGGAAAATTAAAACTATTGAAGAAAAATTACAATCTAAGATCAGGGCAGTACCTATGAGCCATTAGACGCCTTCCTGTCGAAGGATGAAAAATTGTACTATTATTAAAATAGAAAATAGCATGAAATAGGTATACAGCATGTATTCAAAAATTCGCGCCACTACCTTTTTAGAGCAAACAGAAAACTTTTTTTGCACATTTTGTCAATCACAGGTAGACATTACAAATTATGTGCTGTGGTGAATCTTAACAGTATTCTTGTTCTTCTTTAAAATGTTATAGCTCCAGCGATAGCGCCAATGTCAAGGAACACAAGCATTTTTTTAATTCATGCCAAAATTAACTTACTTACCTGCAAACTTTTCGCAAAACTACGTCAATGGAACATTCAACTAAGCGTATGGCGCGCTGCAGTGTCGATTAAAAAAAAAACAATTATTAACTAGTTATTTGTCTTGTTTAGTCGTTGTTGCCTAGGTAATTTATAGGAAATTAATAAACTACAAAAGTGAGGAGGTGCAGTAAAACCCCCAAGGAGACAATATTGCCTTGCAACTCACTTCACTTCACTTTTTATTTTTATCGCTCCATCAATATGAGAACTGATGATTTTGCCAATGTCACAGTTGAAAGAAAAAAAACGAAACAAAAAAAAAAATTTTCATCAAAATAAATAACGTTCCGTTTGACCTTGTTAAACTTAAAGGAGGAAAGTCAAATATGTCAAGCAAGAAGACATAATTGCTTGTTTTGACTTAAATTTAACAGTATTGGGGCTTAAACGCAATTCTATAATCTATAAAAATAGCTGTATTTCATTGATATTCCTAAAACGTACTTCTAAACGTAGCTGTATTTCATTGACATTCCTAAAAAATTGCTATCAACGGAACGCAATTCAAGCCTCCCGCTCACGTTAGAATCAATTTAGAATCTTTTTACTTCTGCAATCTCTAAATGAACTTGATTTATTGATATATAATATAGATTTAGTACACAGATCTAGTATATATACTAAATAAATATGCTGTTTATTTGTAAATTATTCTCTATATTGTATTTATGATCATTGCTTCCAAAATTTCAAATTAGCGAACTCGATTCATCCAGGCCGATAACGTCACTAATATAAAAATTGCGTTGTAGTCAAATTGAAAGTTGGAACGTCGAAAACCTCAAAGCGAAAATATTTTTCGACGTACGCATACGCAACATCCGATACGCAATTTAATTTTAATTTGTAAAAATGAGTGTACGCGAAGATGAGCAGAGAAAAAACCCGAGCCGTGGTCTTGGACTGGCTGCGGCTGCCATTGGTGTGGGGGTTGGGGCAGCCTTGTACTACTTCTTCAGCAAGAGGCCTGAGCATCCAAATTCCGAAGGTTCTACGAGTGAAAACTGGCATTGCGAGCATCCACAAACCTTGTAAGTGCCCTTTAAAGTTACTTCCTGCTTACATTTCGTTTTTTTACGCAATAACGATGCACTTTGTTGGTGAACAAAAAAGACGGTATGCATTTATTGTTTTTACGAAACACCGAAACAAAAAGTAATTTTGATACTCGCATAGCATAAGATCAAAGTATGTATGTAGTCGTGAACTAATATAAACTTATAGTAAATATAATTTAGTATTTGAAAGTTTCTAAGTAGAAAAGAATAATCTGCGTTCTTAGGGCCTTATTCTTGTTACGACTACCTTTTTGCGGGATATTAATGAGGGTAGTTCATGTACCAAATGATGATTGTTCTATACATTCCTAAGTTAACTTGTGTTTTAGAGCAAGAATGTCCTTTTGAAGTTGAATGGTAATTTGCCTTATTATTTATTTCATACTGCAGACTTTGTCTTTAAATTAAATTATTGAAGAAATATTTTATCTAAAATCTTGCAGTATTGACAACCTCGGCGGTGCAACGGCTTGCACTGTGGGGACTGGTTGAGGAGATCCTGGGTTTGATTCCCATGAGCAATTTGAAAAATTAACTTTTCTAATTCTCTCAAATTTAAATGGGACCACTCCTGAGGTACCCTCTTTCCAACTAAGAAAGAACAATCAAAATCAATTCACAATTCACGTTTTCGCATAACATATGTAAAAAAACAGTCAAATTGAGAACATCCTGATTTTTAAGTCTGTAAAAAAACTCTCAGTTATACACAATGTTGTTGCAAATTAAGGTTATTTTACGATAAAATAACAAATGACGGTTGTTTGTACACTAAAATAAATGTATCTCATTTATTCCACACATATTTAGTTACCGACGTGAACTGATTTTGATGATTCCTTTTTGTTCAAAAGAGGGTACATCAGTATTGGTCACATTTAAATTTCAAGAAAATATTCCACCACTAAGGGATGCAAACCAGGGGATGAATCCGGTTTCGCACACTTTCCAGTAATCAATTGCAATAAAACTTGGCAAATAGATGTAATTCCATGAACTTTTCATTTTGTTTTCTTACTACTCTGTACTAAGATTATTTGTTTTTTCTTTGCATAATCTTATGTCATTAATTATTATAAATGTAATTCAGCTCAGATATGGTGTGACTTTTGTTATATGTGTCTATGTTTATTGTGTAAAACTTCAGTCTATATTACCAGAGATTAGAAAAGAGAGAATTTTTGAATTAAAAAACAAAAAACAAATTCCTGGCAGCTGTGCCAGTGCTAGGAATTTGTATGTTTGGTATTCTACTAAGCTTGTCAGTGGTCAGCCATTAAACAAATTTAACTGCCTCCATGGCCGAATGGTTATCATAATAGCAGAGGTCCCAGGTTCGATTCCCGGGGCAGGAGTAATACTTGTAAGGCCTACATTTAGTTCTCTCGTGAGTTTGGGTGTAATTTGTGGTTTTCTATGTGTGTGTCCATAGCACCCGCGACACAGGGTTTTCCCTAGAGCGCGGGCTATGTTGAGTATGTGCGTTATTATTATTATTATGTCATCATAACGACTGGTACTTTATTGCTGATAAATAAGATAAAAAATTACAATATACATAGTCATTTCCATGGTAATTTTAGTAAGGGCGCGTTCCCATTATAAATTAGAAATAAATTTTTTCATGAGCTTTTCGGTGAAGGAAAACATCGTGATAAAACCTGAAAGGAAACCCGTACCGAGCAGTGGAACGTATAAATGGGTTGATGATGACGACTTTTTTGACGTTACGACGACAGATTGTCATAACAATGGAAAGAGCTATAAAGGCAGTCGTCAGACAATAAATTATACGTCGCGATAAAAATGTGTCGACAGATAATTTCAGCTTCAAACGATTCTGTCGTGCAACCGACAAGACGGCTACCGATGCCGTGAAGAGGTAAATTGTCGTCAGGGTCTAGTGGGACCAGCTACACACGACAGTCGTTCAACGATAAAATAAACGTTCACAACACAGTCTCGGCAGATAGTCCTGATATGGGAACAGGCTAGACGCGTCAGTTATCCAACTATAACTGCCGTCTACTAACTAAAACTTTGACAAATGGTCAAATATCTGTTTTCTCTTTTAAAAACAGTTAAAATTAGTTAACGTGTTCGACTTATCGACACTTACCCTAATGATGCATAGCTGAAATGTCATTAAAACAATTTCAATACCTATTCTAAGTGTCGTATTCCAGAACTCTACTCAATACTCAAGTCAGGACTTGAGTATTGCAGTGAGCACTGAAAATCATACTCAAGGCCTTGTCATTAGGGTCGTATTTCCAGTGCTTGAAATTATACTCAAGTCTGCTCACATCCTGACTTGAGCATTGAGTAGAGTTCTGGAATACGAGCATAAAACTGGGTTATGGTTTTCTATATCTTAAAAAAAAATTGTCACTTTTTAGTTAGCGATGGCAGATAAATAAACCTTACGACATAATGGGAACGCGCCCTAAGGCAATACCCATCATTAGTGATTGAATGAATGAATGCCATCAGTGCCATTCCACTAAAAACTCTATTAAGACTAAACTGCCATTGCATCTAGATTTTAGCAGAATAACAAATATTATCAATATCATAATTGCAATATAATCTCAATGGAATTACTATGAAAAAATTAGTAGGATTGGTGCCCAAATAAAGTCAGCTGGAGCATGTAAGGGTAAAAGAGATAGCCTTATGTGTCTCACAAGTAATTGAGTAAGACAGAAATAGAATAAACATACTCGACTTTAAAATATTGCCTCACACTGGGAATAACCGCAACATATTTCAGAGCTAACATTGTAGATCATCGTGAGTCATAGCTTACATCGTCTTGGCGCAATGAGTTGTATGGTGATGTTACTGCTTGGCGGCAGAAATATGGAAGGTGGCAGTACTTCCCTGGAAGAACTTTCACAAAAGAGCTCAAGTGCTACTAAATAATAAATATTCCTCGATTGTTGTTACGAATTTCCCTATACATATCTGTAAGCTGTAAGAACCCACACGGCGTATTTATACGCGTAGACGGAGAAGAAATAAATTAAATTAAACTTTGAGTTCACTTCTTGTTCGAGTTCACATTTGGAACAAAGTGACAGTACGATCGAGTCGTACAGTCAAGAGCACGTCAAGCTTGACACTTTGTACTTTGGACCGTTCTTATCGTAAGCGGCATGCAGTTGGTTTTAAGTCTTAAGTGTGAAGCTTGACGTGCTCTAGACCCTGCACGCCTGGTGTCAAGAGCCACGTCTGTCCTGTAACTTCTGTCCTGCTTGTTCCTGTAATTTCACCAGCACACGTACCCTTAAAAAATTTGAAGAACTTCGGTTCGAAAACGTATCCAATCATAATGGCCTACAGTGTTTTTTTTTATCTATTAAGGTTTTCTACTGACGTCATGAATCTTGATTTCAATAGCCATTATTATTTCATAATACAATTATATTCGATGAATTATGATAAAACGGAGCCTCCTACAGTAAGAGTAAAGAAAATATAAGACTTATTTTAATGTGCAGAAGTAACTGTCAGTGACGATTTTTAACCCACTCATTTAATTCACATTTTCATTAATTCTTATTGCATTTCATCTAATCATTATTAGGTTTCATTTTATCAATATCCATTTCATTTACCATATTCAGGTACGGATCTCTCGCTGACACATCATATACAACTGTATCGGAACACACTACCACAGACACCAGTGTTTACGATTCAAGTCACACCTGGGACAACGAAGATTCATTTAGCACATATCATGATTCATTCACATCTGATCATGATTCATTCACATCTGATCATGATTCATTCTCATCTGATCATGATTCATTTAGCATGATTTCATCCGAGTCTGAATATGAAAGCGCATCAAATGTGTCTGGCAGTGTTGGAGACATTTCTAGAAATACGTCCATCGAGAATGTTTACGATGAACCTATTTTAGAAATCAATGATACAACACCTGTTCAAATTGAAGCTGGCAGTGTTGAGACGGATCAGGAAATGTATGTCATAAATGAATCTGAAATTGTAACGAATGGTACAGCAAATGGACTCTCATTTGAAATCGACTTAATGACTGATCCAACAGTTGATATCAATGATACCACAACTGCTTCGGTTGCATTTGAAATAACTGAACCATCTGAAACAAGTGAGTCGGGATGGCAAGAGACTAGTGAATCAACAACATCGACCTTTGAAACTTCAAATACAGGAAACACTGTATCAATTGATGAAAGAGACGATTGGGATGTAACAAATACGTCTTTAGATGTGCCTGCTTCGAATGATACATCTCCAAGTCGAAATTCACCCTTGTCTAGAATTTATAAGGGTTGGAGTAGTATTATTGGTAGTAGGACACGCACAAGAAGCGGAAGAAGACAAAACGAACAGATGTAAGTTTTTTATAATCAGGGTGTAGATAATACCAGATTCTGCCGCACCTATAAATTAAAATTCATACTGTTGTATAATCTTTAACTTCTTGTTGATAAACTTTCAGATAAGAGACTTGGCACATGAGTATCGACTATACGTATTTTTATAGGCTTGTACACCGTGAAATTTTAATTAGCTGAGTAAGTTTGCAGGACTAAGTTTGTATACTGGCTGTGATTTTAATTGACCAAGAAAGAGCAGACAAAACGTGATACGTCTATTAATTGAATTGTGTCATGTTCTTCCATCCTTTTTCTACACTCCTTTCGTCGCGCTTTGCTATTACGAACCGATAGAGCTATCACTTTAAACTTTAATTCATAAACATGTATTGTAAATAAAACAGAGATGTAGTAGTTTAAGTTTAAGTAAACACATACGTGGGTGTTTTGTAGAAAGAACGAAAGCGCCGTTTCAAAAAAAAAAATTCAGAGGAGCATGTTTTGGTTTTCCACGACTGTTTTAAAATATTCACGTCCTGTTTTAAATTATATTTTAAAACTTAAACTTAATTAAAACGAAAATTGAATTTTTAAACAGGACTAATAATTTAAAACGTGAAAAGTTTACGAAATGTCGCTTTCGCCTTTTCAATAAAACACCGGCGATATTTTAAATTTTTCGGATAATTAAAATGTCACAGTGTATACACACATAAAGAGCAATACGTCACTTATGAGGAAAAACATTTCTCTGACAGCATACGAACATGAATATCAGGCAATTCCATATCAGCAATTGGTGAAAGACCGTCTTAAATCTGTATATCATAAAAAATAATGCATTATTTTAGCACATTTACGTTTGTCTACCTGATAAAGAGCCATCAGTCACTTGATAAATAAAAGAAATGTCTCTGATACCTAAATACTGTCGGCTATCAGTTGCTCTAAACTTATTTATCATTAAAAATACCTTTATATTATTAAGTTAAATATAAAATTAATTATTGGAAATGAAATTGTTTGTTTCTGGATCTAAATTACATATATTTGTGTTCAGGACGAAAACGTGTTCGCGCCCATGTGATTTTTAATATTGTAAATTTATTATTGTGATTTATTATTATAATTTGGTATTGTTAATTTAGTTTAAGGTTTGGTAAATAAACGAGAGGGAGAGAGGGGTTTTGCTTGGAGTCTGTAGGGTTCTCCCGTCCCGCTCCTGCATTGGTGCCGTCCCGCTCGCACACTTGAATAGAATGCGAGCAGCACGGCGGGCCAGCGATGATATAAAAAGCGGAGCGTTGGGAGCGGAACGACATTCCAAAATTGACTGCACAAGACTCCGAAGGCGTTCCAAATCTCTCCGCGATCCAAGCAAAACCAAGAACAAGAAGCTCAATTTACAACCAGGCGTTTTTTTCTCACAATCCGCCCCCACA